GCAAGTTCTCCACAGCGTCAAATCGTGAGGAGAAGACATCGTTCCAGTGAATCAAGACGTTCGGATCGTCAACGGAGAGCAAGTTCGACGCGATCAATCGAAGGAAGCACTCCACCGCTACCAGGAAGAACCCGGTTTTAAACAAAGGGGAGAATCAAATTCATTCTCCTCTCTTTTGTAATCGGAATCCAAATTGTAATCGATTTTGAGAGGAATACAAGTCAAATTTTTCTTTCATTGTCTTTTTACTGTAAATTTCCAACAAACACGCACCATCAACGTCATGAATATCCTTTCCAACTGAATCACCGGTGTTTGGTGAAAATTGATTAGGTCCACTACTTTGAGAACTGGCTGTGGGAAACATCAAACCTTGTGGACTGCCTAACATGCTCATGTATGACATTGGCGGCTGTGTCATCCCACCATAATTACCATCCCATGGTGGGAATGGTGAGAAAGTATGCGGAGGTGAGGTGAATGGCTGTGGTCGAACAGGCATGTAGTTCATGTTAATCCCTGATGTAGGACTTGGCATTGCATTCGAATGAGAAGGCACGCTTTGCTTATCTGCCGGATTGTTAGCCATACCTAATATATTTTGTAAGCATAGCCATATTAACAATAAAGAAATATAAAACAATATGGGATATGTATGCATTTATCAAGGAATATACGAAACGATGATATTTCTGGTTCAAACAACATAAAAAAAGAGCAACCGATAAAAGTAGTAATGTTTTGGTACAAGCAAAAAAACAATAAACAATATCGATGCGAACAGTATTTTAAAATTCACCAAGTTATTACATAGCCATAGGACAAATACTACACTAAGTTAAACCGCTCTCCATTGTGTTACCACCATTGTACTTTGCACAATAATCCACCCACATCGCCCAAGCAATTTGATCTCGCATCTCCTTTCATTCATTTCTTACATCTTGATCCTCTCTTTGTGTCCTACTTTGAGTATAGTCCATCACATTTGATTCGTCCTCATTTGTCTCTTCCCCAGTATCTTCATCAATTTCAACATTTTCATTTAAAATATCATCATCCGGATCCTCCAAGGCAATAAAGTTGTGCAACACAGTACACGCTAGTACAATGTCCACTTGAGTGGGAAATGGATAATTCGGCTTCCCCGCAAGAATTTTAAACCGATTCTTCAGTATCCCAAATGTGCACTCAATTTTTGATCTTAAAGATGAATGCCTTAAATTGAACAACTCCTTCCTATTCTTTGGTGTCCTACCGGTGTGCTCTTTTAAATGATATCGGACACCGCGATACGGGGATATGAAACCTGGCATTGTGGTGTATCCAGCGTCACATAGGTAATATTTACCTACATTAATTAAACAGTATTTTAAAATCTCAAATATTGCCAAGTATTTAATATATTATTCATAATATGCACAAGTGAGAATGAATACCATCGTAAACTCGGAGACCGTAAGGCTGTGGCCTAGACAGGGCGTCTTGTAATACCCTATAATCATTTGCTGCCCCCTCCCAGCCAGCCAAGACATAAGTAAATAGTTTATTGGGGGTGCAGGCTGCTAAGATGTTTTGGGTGACCCCTTTTCGCCCTCTAAACCGTGCAACTAGGTCACTGGGTAACACCGCGTCGACGTGTGTGCCATCTATCAAACCAATGCAGTCCTATAAAAAATTATAAATTATACATAGTTAAATAAAAAAAAGTTTATTTGGAAAATTATTAAGTTGTATGTATTTAATTTACCTTAAAGTACGGAAAATAATTTGAGTTGTTTGCAATCTCCTCGGGAACTTCTTTTGGGGCTTGCTTCATGTACCGATCACGTAATCCATTCATTGCTTGCAAGACTTTATTGAAATACCTGCTAACTGTTTCCCCTGATCTTATGAACTCAGTTCTTATTATTCTATTTTTAGTTTTGTGCCCAACAATACTCAGGAACATAGCAAGTTGTTCTTCAACTTGAACGTGTCTCGTATCTTTTAATAACCCGTTTGCTTTCATTACTTCAACAAGTTTAAAAAATGCCCTCGGTCTCATTCTAATATAAGATTGGCAGCTATCTTGATAGCCCTCCAGTACACGTCTGAAGTGAGCCTCTCTACAATATATTTTTCTGATATTTTCTTGCGTCGTACAAGTTGATATTCTCTTGCGCTTAGCACGCATTCTCAAAATACATGTTACCAAAGTGACCACGGCGCAGACAGCTGTATTAGCACACATCTCTTCAATTCTTCCTCATCTTCCATATCCATCTACATCCGTTTTAAAATTATCATACAGTTACAGCTTAAGATGACTACGTATTTCATATCAAAATTAAGTAGATAATTGATACAAATATTTATTTCTTTTAAAGCAAGTAATCTAATTAAAATGAAAATTATTTTAACTAGTGTTGCATTCCATCTCACATAATTATCAAGAAGCAATATAGACCCAAAAACAAACAAACTATATGGTTAGATTGCTAATAATTTACACACACACAAAAAATAAGGAAATAAAAGGGAAAAAAACAGCAAGTTCAGTACACAGCAATTTTAACTAATTATTTGAGGGCCTTATTTAGATTTTAGAAAGATTTGTGCAAGAAAGCAAAAATAGAAAAATAACTTCTATTCTATTTTCATGTCGTTTATCTATCTAACAACCTAATTCTTGCACATTAACAACAAAATCCAGTACACAAACACCCGCATGAATTGTTTTACTGTAATATTATGAAATTAATCTCTTATGTATTTAACACCGAATGAGTTGGGGTTAAAGCTTTGCTATTATTGCACGTAGTATATACCAAAAATACAGCACAAGTTATATGTGAAGCTCATCTGTTGAGTATTTGTATCCATCTCTTGAGTTGAAGCTCATCTGTGCTGTATTTGTATCCCATGGCACTTCTTTCTCAGAAATTATATGTGAAGCTAAAAATTAATAGACTCTCATGATGGTACCAAGGATCTATTTAAGTCATTATTACAGTCACTCTATTTGCCCTCGGGCCACTGTCGGCCACCTCGGGGTGGCCGACACTGTGCCTAGCCACCTTGGGGTGGCTCGGCTCATGGCCGAGCCACCCCAAGGTGGCTCGGCATTGGCCGAGCCACCTTGAGGTGGCTTGGCTTTGGCCGAGCCCCCGCGGGCGGTGTTTTCCGACTTTTTCGAGTCGTTTTCCGTTGTCTCGTTTGTCCGTGTTTCGGTTGACCTGAGACTTTGATTTGATGATCTGATTTGGCAGTAAGTTGGATTCCTGATTTGGCAGTAAATCCGCTTCTGAGTTCGAGTCCGAAATTGATCTTGATTCGTACCTGTCTGATGAAGTTCCAGAATGCCGACGTCCAACCAAAAAACCCACCGAAGTCAATCACAACACCGTAGCCAACAATTTTGTCGAAGCAGAACAAGATCGAGAAGGGATCACCAAGAATCGAAGGCAATCGTTGGCTCGTCGGTTTGTGCCGAGCTATGCTAGGGGACCTATAAGCAATTTTATATGCCTACAACCGTAGCCAACAATCACACTCGAAGCAGAACAAGATCGATAAGGGATCACCAAGAATCGAAGGCAAGAAACGTAACACAAGCTCGGGGAAAACAAAGCTAGGGTTTCGATTTGGAGCCCCGACCCTAAGTAGAAGAAGACGAAGCGCGGGAGAAGAGGCGCGAAGAAGAGGGCGTGCAGGCGGGAGACGAACAGCGATTCCAGATCTAGGGATCGAATTTGTGAGATAGGAATCGGAATCGACGTTGAAACGCCCTGTCAGAAATCTCGCCCAAATCCGCTCATTTTCATCCGATTTGGGTTTCTATAAAAAAGCGAGACTGTAGCTACTTTATGGATATGGTAATCCCAAACTTCTGGCTGAGCCAAACCCCAGAATAGGATTCACAGAGAATCCAAAAATTACCAAATTGCCACTGTCAGACCCCAAATACTAATCCTATTCTATAAACTGGTGAACCAAACAGGCCTTAAGAACCAAACTCATTGCTTTGTCATATGTTAATTATAGGGACTAATTAACATAGATCTCTTAATTATAGGGACTAATTAACATATATCCTTGTGTACTAGATTAAGAACCAAACTCATTGCTTTGTTCAAATAGGGACTACATTAAGAGAGAGAAATTGCAAAGATCAATTTTGATATGAGGCCCCAGTACAAGGATCAAATTGGTCTTTTAGCCTTAAAATTAGAGTAAATTTCAATAAAATAATTTTTAATTAACTCCAATAGTTTTGAAATTTTTAATTTGGTATTTAACCCTATTTGAAACTCTCATTAAAGCTCTAATAACTTTGAGAGTTCCAATACTCAGCAAAATATTATAATTTTTTTCATTAAATCCCCATTGACTAATGTTCATATGTTATGAACTTCATTCTCAAACTCAAAATACGCGTTAACAATGTAATGATTTCTGAAATTCCCAAAGTTAATGGGAGTTTAGCGAAAGTTTACCTAAGTTTTAAAAATGGCGTCCAATGCCCGAACTTTTCACTTTTATTGAAATTTACCCCAAAAGAACTGCAATTCTCAACAATCGCCGCAATTTGCACTCACGAAAGTTTGCGATCTCATCTCAAACTCAAGAATTTAATACGCACGAGTTTGAATTAAACAAGCGCAAAGTTGAACGAAAAAAAAAAAGATAAAAGCCAACATATAATCAAGAAACACCACCAACGGTCAATTTCACACCTCCACAAATTTTTCCATCCAAACAGCTCCCACAATTTTTACATACAGACTAATTTAATAAACTAAAACCAAAAACCCCCAAACCCCCCAAATCCTCAAACCGTATCCCTAACCCTAGTCCTTACTCCACAACAATTAGAAGAGGGAAAAAAAACCCAAATTCAATTAGCATCATCAAACCCCCCTTCAATTCTTCCTCGGCGCCGCCCCCCTCCCCTGCTTCACTCCCGCCGGCGCACGGCGCCGCCGCGAGCCTTCGTCCCTTCTCCTCCGCCCCTCGGCTCGGGTTCTCGCCTCTAACCTAGCTTTCTTCGGCGGGCCTGCCACGTGGCCGCGGGATCCCCTCCGACGCTTCGCCACGGCGGCGTGCGAGCGCGCGTCCTTGCGGCTGTCGGGAGGCCGGCCGCGGCCGCGCCTTCACCGGGACGTCGCCGGGCTTCAGGTAGTTGTTCTTCACCATCAAGATCTCCCCGCTCTCCTTCATCCTCTCCAAATGGGCCGTCAGAAGCGACGAATGGGCCTCCGGCAACTTCTCAGCGTACTTCGATTCCAGGTATTTCGATATCGCCGTCTTGTTTGAGCCCGCTTTCTCGTCTAAAGCCTCGATTGCGCCCAAAATCATCTGCCCATTAAAAAAATCAGCATCAAATTAGCTGAAAAAAAAATCAAAATTTGAAGGTTGGGTGAGGTTAGGGTTCGTACCTCGGAGTAAGAGGGGAGAGTTGAGGGCTTGCTAGCTTCATCTTCAGTGGCCATGGCTGAAGTGAGAGAAAAGAGAAGTTGAGAGAGAGGGGGTGAGAGAGAGAGATGGAATTAACGATGAAGAAATTGGGAATAAATAGGCAGGAATTGGATTTTTTTTTTCCCTTTCTGTCTTTTTTTTATTGAGGCGATAAGCGAAAAGAGAAGAGGAGGTGAGGAGAAGGGAGTGTTTCTCTGGGACTGTGAATGGACGGATGGGATTGAGTAGTGACCTGTGGATCTGATGGTTGCGGGTATTGAGGCGACGGTCACTCGGATTGGTGACGTGGACCGGATGGGGTTAGGATTTGGACAAGTTTTTGTTGTTCTTTTTGGGATGGAAAAAAAGGTTACTAAAGTTTGGGGAAATTACTGGGGATGCCATGTAGTTATGGATGTTGCCATGTTGGGCTCACTGACATAACACTCGTGAGTTCTTATCGCAGCTCATGAAAAGAGGCTATATATATATCTTTATGTATTATATTGTAATAAAAATTTTATTTTATATATCGAATGAGAATATAGACAGACTTAAGAAATTTTGGGCGTCCGCATCGCACGACTTCGACTTCAAGTATTAGAGTAAATTAAATTCATGTAGATGATTTTCAGAGAAGTCGAATCTAAAAATCTTAAAATACTATTCTTAGGCAGCTCACTAACTCACTAGATACTTATAGGTATTCTTCGATGTTATTGATTTCTGTAAAATATGTTGTGCAATCTCTGGTCTCGCAATTCCATTTTATAGGCTATTTACACACACGAAAACGCACGTCGTTTTGATTTACTATTTGAGCATCTAATTTAAGGACTAGTACATCAGAAAAAGATATGCAATTTTAAGTACTGTTGTCTACCTTTTAGATTGAATACGATTATAGTGGGTACGGAGTTGGAGAGCATCAAATTTGGTACTGATGTCTAACTCGATTGCTCATCCGTCTTTATGTTGTACTTCTTGATTAATATAGTGAGAAAGGTATAATCTAAAATAGGGGTCAGAATTAAAAATACAAAAATTAAAATCATATGAGGTTCGATCATCCCAGCAGACATGTACCAAATCACATCAAAACTCTATAGTTAAGTGTGTTTGGGTGGACTATTAGGATGGGTGACCTCCTGGAAATCCTCGTGTTGCTCCCTTCTTTTAAAATCTTATGAGGGCTCTTGATAAAGGATAATAGAAAATTGAAGAGCACAAGAGAAATATTTTATGTCTTAAAAGTAATTGTATGGGAACTGTGTGTGATCTAGATTGCATTGATATCATCCTACGGTTTGGGCTTGATTCTCATACAATTTAAAAAAATTAGTTAATCGTATCAATAGTATACTCTAGTTGCACTTGTATCTTAATGGTTTGCATTGATATTCAAAGATTGCATTGACATTGTATATTGTACTAATCAAAATGTGACTGCATTGATATTGTATTTTAAACAAAGTTGGTGCTTATATAA